GCGGAGACCACGGTTCCTGGGGTTTTCTAGCTCCTGGCGCTGTCCAGGGTCCTCAGCTAGAAACTCCCTCCTCTGTGTTCACAGCCAGCAGCCACATCACCCTGACCGGTTTGTTGTCACCACCTCTGATGTCCTTCCGCCTCGCTCTCCCACTTTTTTTATAGCAGGCCCACCTGGCTCATCCAGGATGGCTTCCTGTTTCGAGGTCACCTGATTTTGTGGCCTTTATTCCATCCATGGGCTCGATCCCCTTTGTCATGTGGCCTATACGTTTTCACAGGCTCTGGGGCAGGGCGTTTGGGGCCATTTTTGTGCCTCCCACAGTTATCGACTAAGAATGCTGAGACTGGTTCTTTTTAAGAATCTTTGGGTTGTTATAACCCAGATTTGGAGAATCAGCCACTGATAAAAATAAAAATATAGAGTAAAATGGAAGCAAACATAGTCTCCCAGCGATGTGACTATTACTAAACTCTGGCATCTAAGCAGACTGAAGTACGATTAAAGAGGGGAAAAAAGAAATCATTATTTAATTTTAGGGTTTCTTTGCTATTGTAATTTAATTTTTCTTAAACTAAATTTTTCTTAAACATCATTACACCATGATGTTAACTTAATAAAAGGTACTTCACATGGTCGTGTCATAAATTCATGAGGTTTTTTTTTTTTTTGCCAATCTAGGTTTTAATTTTTAAGTACGATTAAAGAGGGGAAAAAAGAAATCATTATTTAATTTTAGGGTTTCTTTGCTATTGTAATTTAATTTTTCTTAAACTAAATTTTTCTTAAACATCATTACACCATGATGTTAACTTAATAAAAGGTACTTCACATGGTCGTGTCATAAATTCATGAGGTTTTTTTTTTTTTTGCCAATCTAGGTTTTAATTTTTCAAAAAAATTTTTTTAAATTTTAACTTAAATTCACTATGATAAAAACATACTAAGATAAATAATAAACTTCACACATTGGAATGTTGGCTTATACGTAGGACTGAGTAATACATTGTCCTCATGGAAGACAAAATGAAATGTGTTCCTTAATAGTAATTGGAATTTCCTGAAATTCACACTTAAGTATTGTTTTTTTTCAATAACTAGTCAACTTTTTTAAAGCATTACACTGTCTGAGTTTGACGTGTTTTGGAGTACCGTTTAAACTAATGCATTGGTTGGAACATAGTGCCAATGAATTAAGTTTCAAATTCTCTGTGTAGTTATCTAAGTTTTCGATGACCGATTTCACTCTTTTTCCATAACTGTATAAGTTTGGTCATAAAGAGAATCTAGTAAAACACCAAGGTTCAATCCATGCAATTTAATAATTTTCAGTGCTATAAGTGGGTATTATATCATTTTCTACTTAACAGCAGCAATAGCAGCAAAGACTGGAGGGTGAGGGTACTATAAGCTCCTCACAGGAAACTCTTTTTTCTATATTTAAAAATGCACTTAGTACCAGAATCAGTTTTCTAATTGTCTGTTTTTCATAGTTTAAATAAATCACTGATAGCCTCATACTTATTTCTACTACACTTACCTCTAGATACTTCAGAATTTCTGGTCTTTGTAGATGATTTCTAGGTCTGATTTCTTTTTTTATATATTTTAGAGTGTTTTTGTTTCTTAGGATTATTGCCATCTGGCTTGGGAAGACCTACTTTACTGTGTTCTTTTTTTCTTTTATAGTCTTGGGAGTTGAAGAAGTCCTTGCACAAGCAGACTACCTCTACGAAAGTGGAGAAACAGAAAAACTTTATCAGCTGCTGACCCAGTACAAGGACAGGTGAGCAATGCATGATGGGCCTGGGTTTGCCATTTTGTCAAAATTTTTGTTATTTAACACTTAAAATGATTTTCGGTGCTTGAAATTTTTATATTTTTTTAAGCTTTTACTTCAAAGTAATATTTCTTAGAGTTTAATTTATGGTATGCTCTTTCTTACATTAAATGACTCAAATGCTACATGTGTGTCATTGATTTAGAAAAGGTGGTTCTACTTACTCATTCTAGTAGAATGTGGAAATACTACTTTATCCATTTTGTTTTGCTTTGGATCACATAAGGCTGCCGTTAAATATATGTTTATGTCGTCTGTTTTATATTTCTCATTTCTTTTCAATTAATTTCTTACTCGTATAAGAATTTTATGAATTAGGGTGATCATGTGTCTCCATCGAATGGCCATTGAATGCCTTCCATCAGTGTATCACTTAAGAAGCATAATCTTTTAGAGAAACTAAAAAAAATACCTTTTTCTTTTTCTTTTTTTCTCCCATTAGATTATATATTCAGTCCAGGGTATCACCGTGTACACATTTTTTTGGAGCGGGGAGAGGTATAGGCGAAAGGAGATTCAGCCTTTACAATAAGTCAGTAATGCTGTGTGGCATTTCCAGATTGCTAATCAACCTCATCTCCTAGACCAAAAACATAAGTCATTTTTTGTTACCTTTCTTAGATTCTCAAAACCAGTGTTTTCCCTAACATTCATCTTTTACTTCCTAAATGTCTATAAGACCTGTATTTTTTTTTTCTCCATTTTCTCCTCAATAACCTGAGGTGGCTAATTGGACATTTTATACCCACTCCAGTAATTACTTGAAAAGTAAGCTGTAAGGTAGTTATTCCCTATTCATTGAATTATAAATATACTATTGCTGCCATTGCTTTAAAATTTTTATGTGAATACCATTTGTTGTTAAACAATATATAGTAGGCTTAAAAGCAGACATTTAATAAAAAGGAATTTAAGGTTAGTTTTGACAAGGAATTTAAGATTGGTTTTAAAAATATTTCTAACTCTTAATTGTGGTTAGTATTTTATTTATTAACAATTTTTTATTTTATGTAATTTATACTTAAATGTCAGTTCTTCAAGGAATCCAGTGGCCTTACTTGAAATATGCCATGTATCATGACATGGATGAGTCATTCTAACATAGGATTTACGTTGAGATTACCTTATATTCATTCATTCATTCATTTATTCAGAAACACTTATCAGATACCTGCTGTGTGCCAGGTGCCGTACTCGGGGTTAGGGAACATCGGTTTTGATTTTTTTAGAACATGACCCTGTCTGTCAAGTTCATGTATGTTACGATGCTGTCTGAACCAGTTAGTGAGTTTTCTGAAGCACAGTGCCAGTGAAGTCAAACCTCCAGTTATATGTTGGATTTTGAGGGCAAGCATTTCGAGAATTCAAATGCAGAGGTGTTTTCTTAGGAAGTTACTGTTTTAGATATTACAGGTAAGTTAATATTTATGTGTAATATTGGATATTTAGTAGGAAAATTTAGCAAATAAAGTTATGTGAAAGAAATTAACAAATTTGGCATTTGATGTCGTGTTGCCCCCTGCATCCTCCGACCTGACAGACAACGTGTGTTCATTAGCAGTGTGGCCTTTAGCTGGTTTTAAATGCAAGCTAAAATGGTTCTCTTGTATTTATTTCAAATTAGCGAAGATGCAGAGTTACTGTGGCGTTTGGCACGGGTGTCACGGGACGTAGCTCAGCTTAGCAGAACCTCGGAAGCGGAGAGAAAGCTGCTGGTGTACGAAGCCTTAGAGTACGCAAAAAGAGCTCTAGAAAAAAACGAAGCAAGCTTTGCAGCTCATAAGGTGAGGGGCTTGGTGTAACAAAACTGACCGCGCGTTGAGGGGTACGTCGTCTGTACTAACCCATCATCCCCAGTTTACATAGGAAGAAAATTGCTCTATTTTAAAGGAGGAAGGGGATTTATTTTTGAACCAAAGTGTTGTCATTTCACGAATTACCTGTGTCTTTACTCCTAGTAGTACAAGCACTTGACAAAAGTCTTCCCATTTTCCTCACGTTCTTTTTCTGTTTTATGAGACCGAGTGTAACTGCACGCGTAACCGATCGTTTCTGGATCGCCTAACTGGTGTAGAGCAACCTTTTTCAATGGACACTGGTGAAAATAGGGGGATGTTATTGGTACTTTAGATTAGTCCATTACTTTATTATGTTGAACTGTCCTCAGTGAGCCCCCAAGTCATTATGACAACCAGATTCTGTCCCCACACATTTCCAAATGCTCCTTTTAGGGGCTGGCACCCCATTGCTCCTGGTTTATACTAAGGATAAACCAGATACAAATCCTTTAAATTTGAGACTTCTTTTCTGGCCCAGAGTATAGTCCATCTTTGTCAGTGGCATTCGTGCACATGAAAAGAGCGTTTATTGGTGGTGGTTGGGAGTGTCTCACACGTGTCATTCAGATCAAGTCGTGATAGTGGTATGCGAGTCCTCGTGTCCTAACTGATTTCCTGCTGCTTGTTCTATAAATTATTGAGAGAGGTATACCGAAACCTCCAAGTATAATTGCAGATTTGTCTGTTGCTTTTTGCAGTTTTATTAGTTTTCACAACATGTACTTTAAAGTGCTGTTATTGGGAGCATAAACATTCAGGATTACTGTATCTTCTTGATGCATTGACCTCTTTATCATTATAAAATGAGCCTCTTTATTTCAAGAATTGTTCTTGGTTTTATAGTCTGCGTTGTCTGATAGTAGTGTGGCCACTGTCACTTTCTTTTGATTAATGTTAGCATATTATATCCTTTTCCTGTTCTTTTTACTTATTTCTTTATATTTAGCATGTACTTTTTGTGAGCAGTTTATAAATCTTGGGGTTTTTTGTTTGTTTTTTGATAATGTTTAAATTTTTTTAAATTGATTTTTCCGTTACAGTTGACATACAGTATTAGTTTCAGGTGTACAACAGTGATTAGTTGTGTATATATAACTTACAAAGTGATCACCTGGATAAGTCTGACACCCATCTGACACCATACGTAGTTATTAGAAGACTATCGACTGCATTCCCTGTGCTGTACTTTACATCCCTGTGACTGTTATAACTGACAATCTGTACTTCTTACTCCCTTTCACCTTTGTCATCCATCCCCCCCAACCCCCCTCCCATCTGGCGACCACCAGTTTCTTTGTATCTCTGTTTGTTTCTGTTTTGTTTGTTCATTTATTTGTTTAGATTCCAGTGTAAGTGAAATATGGTATTTGTCTTTCTCTGAATTATTTCACTTAGCGTAATACCCTCTAGGGCCATCCATGTTGTTGCAAATGGCAGGATGTCATATTTTTCATGGCCAAGTAATATTCCAGTGTATAGATGTACCACACCTTCTCCATCCAGTCGTCTGTCGATGGACACTTAGGTTGCTTCCATATCTTGGCTGTTGTAAACAATGCTGCAGTGAACACAGGGGTGCAGATATCTTTTTGAAATAGTATTTTAGATTTTTTTTTTTCAGATAAATACCCAGAAGAGGGATTGCTGGGTCATGTGGGGGTTCTGTTTTTAACTTCTCGAGGAGCCTCCGTGCCGCACCGATTTGCATTCCCACCAGCAGTGCACGAGGGCTCCCTTCTCTCCCCGTCCTCGCCAGCACCTGTTCGATTTATTGATGAGAGCCATTCTGACAGGTGTGAGGTGGTATCTCATTGTAGTTTTAATTTGCATTTCCCTGATCAGTGATATTGAGCATCTTTTCATAGGTCTGTGGGCTATCTGTATGTCTTTTTTAGAGAAATATGTATTCAGGTCCTCTGCCCGTTTATTAATTGGATTGTTTGGGGGTTTTGGTGTTGTATGAATTTCTTACATATTTTGGAAAATAACCCCTTATTTAATGTATCATTGGCAAATATTTTGGGGATCCCATTCAGTCTTTTCATTTTGTTGATAGTTTCCTTTGCTGTGCAAAACCTTTTTGGTTTAATGTAGTGATTTATTTGTTTCCCTTGCCCAAGGAGACATAGCCAAAAAGAATATTACTAAGAGCAATGTCAAGGAGCTTACTGCTTGTTTTCTTTAGGAGTTTTATGGTTTGGGTCTTATATTTAAGTCTTTAATACATTCTGAGTTTATTCTCGTATACGGTATAAGTGGTCTAGTTTCATTTTTTTTGCATGTATCTGTCCAGTTTTCCCGGCACCATTTAGCCAAGAGAATGTCTTTACCCCACTGTATTTTCTTACCTTCTTTATCATAGATTAATTGACCATATGTGTGTTGGTTTATTTCTAGGCCCTTTATTCTGTTCCATTGATCTCTGTGTCTGTTTTTATGCCAGTCCCTTGCTATTTTGATTACTATAGCCTTGTAGTATAGTTTGCTATCTGATAGTACATTATTGCCAACTTTGTTCTTTCTCGATTGTTTTGGCTATTTGGGGTCTTTTGTGGTTCCATATAAATTTTAGGATTATTTGATCTAGTTCTGTGGAAAATGCCATTAGTATTTTGATAGGGATTGCATTGAATCTGTAGATTGCTTTGGGTACTAATGGACATTTTAACAATGTTAATTTTTCCTATTTATAAGCACAGTATAGGCTTCCCTTTATTTGAACCTTCTTCATTTTCTTCGATGTCTTATGGTTTTGTTTACAGGTGTTCTACTTCTTTGGTTAAATTTATTCCTAGGTATTTGATTCTTTTTGGCGCAATTGTAAATGGGATTGATTTTTAAATTTCTCTTTCTGATAGTTCATTATTGATACATAAAAATGCAACAAATTTCTGGATATTAATTTTGTATTCTACTTTACTGAATTGATTCTAATAGTTTTTTGATGGAATCTTTAGTGTTCTCTATAGGATCATGTCATCTTCCTTTCTAATTTGGATTTCTTATCGCTTGTCTGTTTGTTGGGTCTCACGTAGGCAGGTGTGTACGGGTCTTTTTTTTTACCCATCCAGCTGCTCTGTGCCGTTTGATTAGAGCGGGGCCTTGGCCTGTTCTAAGGGCTGCGCAGCAGGAAAGCCAGCGACGCGTCACCCGTAGGTGCAGGTGTCTGCAGCCACTCCCCAGAGCAGAGCTCGCAGCGTCACCGCCCCAGCCCCACCTCAGGTCCTCCGGCGTTAGAGTCTCATGGGAGCACCGGCCCCTGGTGCCACAAAGGTTGGGGACCGCTGCATTACAGCATTCAGTCCATTTACATTCGATTATTGATGGATATGTGGTATTGTCATTGGTTTGCGTTCTGACTTTTTTTAGGGTTCTTCTCTCTTCCTTATTCTCTTCCATGATGGTGACTTTCTACAGTGTTATGTTGGAGTCTTTTCTCTCTATTTCTTATATATTTATAGATTTTCGTGATTTCCCACAGCACCTGTGTTTATGGAGCTTGGCTCTTTTGGATTCAGTTCTTACGGAATAAACTCACATTGTCCAAATATGACTGTGGGGACAAGGTCACAATTGACAGATGCGGCTCTTGTTTCTGTGGCAGTGCAGATGTGGGAGAAGACGAGAAAGTGAAACGATAGCCACTCAGTTGCACACGTTTCTAAACTGACACGCGGACCACAGACGCGCGTCGTTACGTCCGTGTTGTGTTAAGTTTCTTAGAAGTTCGCTGGTCTCTGCCTTGTGCCGTGGTCCTCTACGAACACGTCCTCTGTGCGAGTCCCTGGGGACCACGTTCACTTTTCTCAGTAAAGTCCATGTAAAGGTATTTAATGCAGTGTTTATGCTCAAACATTTTTTTCAATGAGAGTGACTACTGAGGAATAGTCACTCGGTTATACCTCGTATGAAATGGAATAATAAGAGTATTGTTATTCTTATACCTTTTCCTTCATTTTTAGTGGTATGCCATCTGTATTAGCGACGTTGGAGATTACGAAGGCATCAAGGCTAAGATTGCAAACGCCTACGTTATCAAGGAGCATTTTGAGGTACTGATGAATTTAAAGTCATTCGTTTTCTGAATAGATTTCTGTGTCACTTATCTATTGCTATATAGCACACCATCTAGAACTTAGTGGCCTCCGACAGCGACGATTTATTTCTCCCAGTCGTGTGGATTAACTGCCTGTGGTGCTTCTGCTGCGGTGTCTGAGTTCATTCGGGGGGCCCTCAGACCGGGGTGTGCAGGGTGGCCTCGTGTCTGCCGTGGTTTCTCTCCTTTCCTTCTCATTAGTTGTCCAGCCCAAGCTTTACGGCATGGTCGCTGGCTTCCCGAGGGAGTGCTCCCAGGGAAGAGTCTCAGTGTGCAGGCTTTTAGTAAGCCTCTGCTTGCCTCACGCTTGGCCACGGCCTGCTGACCCAAACACGCCATGCGGCCAAGACCAGCGTCTGTGGGAGGGGATTGTACAAGGCCCTGGGCGCCAGGAAGCGAGTCTGGTCTGACTTTCTGCCGCAGCTGGCATACCGCTCCCGATAGTGACAGTCCTGCTTGGAGTTATGACCGCTGTGTGTGTGTAAAGTCCCCCGCTGACGTCAGTCACATGTTTATGGTAAGCTCTTCCTGAGCGCTCCAGCAGTTCGCAGATGTCACGATGTGCTACACTGCTCCCTTGTCCCCAAAACAAAACTGCCACTAACAACACAGCGTATTTCTCTTTTGCTATTCTACGCTATCTCAGAAATGCAAAGGAAGGAAAAGTGATGAAAACATTCAGGGGTAGCAGGTGTGCTGTCCAGTACCTTTTCTGAATTTGGTGGCTACAGTCTCAGTTCCTAGTTTGTTAGATGAGTAGTGGACAAGAACTTGGGACTGGGAGTCAGGAGACTTAGCTTCCTGCTCGGCCGTCAGTGTGCGTGTTACGTACACATGTGTATGTATATTTCAACTTAATGTATATTTTTCACATTTTAAGACCTTCGAAATCAGATTGCATTATATATTCAGTGGTGTCTTGTAATTGGCAGCACTTTTTATTTCATAGTGGTACCTAAAGTAATGACGTATCATAACTTTTACTGTATCTTAGATTCAGTGAGATACAGTATTTTGCTCAGTAGCATTAATCTCCTAAATTACTGTGCTTTGAGATGTAGAAAAATATAACAAGTAATTTCCAATGTGAATAATGAAAAATTACAGAAAATAAATTATACTTTAAACTTTAAAGAAACAGTAAAGACTGCAGATTTTATGTAAAAAAGTGTTTTGTATAAGCTTTCAAATGTATGTGTTGAGTATATTTAAAAATAACAGTATTATTGATACCAGTATTTCAAATTTCATTATTATATCGAAAGTCAGAAGGAATCATTATCTTTAGGCTGTTTTTGAAGACACGTAAACTAGTGGCAGGAAGAATTATGGCAGGGTTTGCTGGAGAGCAGCCCCTCGCAGGCCCTCCGGTGAGGAAGCCGCAGCGGGCGCCCAGGCGCTCCGGGCCGAGGCACTGGCTCCCCTGCACCTACAGCCGTGTGTAGGCGGTGCCTCGGGGCATGGCGAAGGCAGCGGTGTGGTTTCCGCAGGGCTTAGCCTTCGAGGGGACGTCCAGTGGGAAAGACTGCTTAAAATACAAGTTGCACATACTTTAAATATATCTTTATAAATCACATCACTTTATCTAAAGAAAAGACCATTTTAGGTCAGTGCTGACTCATATCACTTTGTGGAAGCGAAGCCTGCACGCCCGGCACCTCAGTAAAAAGCGATGGTGCTGGTGACGCAGGGTGTCGCTGTGTTACGCACCTCCTGCCACGCGCTCCTTTCACGTGTCTTCTCCGCTCTGTAAAATAACAAAATCAGACGTGGCAAGGGCATAAAACGTGCCAAGGTCAAAAGTTAGAGGCCATCGAGCTGCGGCTGGAACCCTGGTGGTCTGGCGTCAGTGCCCATGTCGGTAACCAGCACAGCATTTGAAAATGGGTCCCTCACTCGTCACCCGCGGATCGTGCAGGTGTGGTGTACGGACGAGCGCAATCCAGGAAGTCTGTTTTTAAAAAGGGATCTTTTATTTTTAATGAGATTACATTAATTTGTGAGGTTTCCTTAGTTTTCAACAAAATAATAGATGAAAGGAGGAGTAATTTCTTTAAAGTTATTCTCAGGTTTATGCTTTACATTAATTCACATGGACTTTCACATAGAAAATAGAAAAGAGCATTTATCAATATATTTAACACTGTACACGAGTGTTAACGAATTCTGTGAATGAGTAGTATTTTTCCTTGGTTAATTATAGATGAAGTTGAGCAAAATCTGCATACAGGAGGGGACTTTCTAAAGTTACGTTTTTTGTTCTTTTAGGAAAGTACTTTTTATTCAGTAGTTCTTTGACTTGGCAGAAAGAAATCATTTTTCATCTAATCTAGAAGAAAGAAGCAGTGAGAGCTATAGATTATTACTGTTTTCAAAATTACCTTCACTTACAGATTTCATGTTTTTTCTCATCTTGATAAATCTTAAGAGTTTCTGAACCCTGTAAAATAGTAATCTTAGTGCAGTCGTTTTTATGGATTGAAACAAATTAAAGAATCAGGAGGAAGAAATTGGTGTTGATTATCGTAGAAGAATTGGAATGTAAGGATGCAAAGTTACTTTTTAAATCATGGCTTCTTCAGAGACATGGTGAAGTTCTTATTGGTGTTTGGTATTTAGAAAACAAATGATTGGTTTTCTTATTTCTTGTTAGAAAGCAATCGAACTGAACCCTAAAGATGCTACTTCAATTCACCTAATGGGCATTTGGTAAGAAAATTCCTTTAAAATTTTCAGTGGTATTTAGTATGATCTTTTGTAGTGTATAAAAGGCAAAATGTAAAATATTTAAAAACATTTACTTGGCAGTCAAGAGCATTTAATCCATTAAATCGACTAGCATTTGTACATGTCTTGTTAGAAAATACGAAATTTGATTGCGATGACGTTAAACTTCATCACGCGGCTCATTTAGAAACGTCCCGCGCAGAGGGTGCGGAGGCCGCACTGCTCCCCTCGTGCTGCCTTCCCACCCCCGGGAGCGCCGCGCGCTTCTCCGCGGCTTCTCCGCTCCTGCGCGTGGGGGCCGCTACCCAGTAAAACGAGGGCGACTGATTATAGGTCATGCCGTGCCCTGACAGCAGCTAAGTGACTGACGTGCGGGGAGCATATAAGCGTGTACGCTGGACAAAGGAACGCGTCACGTCCTGAGCAGGACGGAGCAGGTCCCGTGAGATTTTCTCACGCTACTTGGAAGGGCATGCAACTTAAAACTGATGAATTGTGGACTTCCGGAATTTTCCACGTGAGAGTTTTGGAGCACGGTTGCCCACAGTAGCCGAAGCTGCAGAAAGCGACTCCGCGGCAGGGGGACTGCTGCACGGGGGTGACAGGCATTGACGTGTGCGTGGCCCTTTAAAATTCACCTGGTCGGGACAGCTCCCTGAGGGGGCCTCTGCGTCTTCAGAGGATCGCCAGGGTCCTGAGCAGCATTGTCGTCTGACTCGGCGTCTCTGCTGTCCCGCATCGGCTTGCTGGGGTGAGCGCACACCAGCGGGTTAACTGTCCCCCGGTTCAGGCGTCTGTCTCCCTCGGGGGTGGTCTGCAGGGCTGAGTGCTTACCGTCCTCCAGGTCCTGTATCGGACTCTTCAGGAGAGTCCTTGAGGACAAAGGACATACCAGACCGACCAGACATCTACCAGGGACTGAGGGTGATCGCGGGACAGCTCGGGCCGGGTGCTGGGGAGCAGACTCGGCTGAGACACAGTCTCTGCTGGAGCGCAGACCCGGTGGGAGGCGGGCACTCCCTCCGCTCCCGTCAGCCTGTCGGCACCATCCGGACCATCGGCGTCACCATCGGGCGTCGCCATCCGCCTCACCCTGCTCGTGCGCGGACGGGAACTGTCGGGTGCCGTTTTGTCATTTTACTTCCTTCTTTTTTAACTTCTCTGAGTTAGTTGTCTTCATGTAAAAATAGGGTGGTGATCCCATCTCGTTTGGCAGTTATGAGCCGATGGGACAGTGCCTGGCACAGAGCGAGTGACTGGCGTGAATGCTGCGCCGTGTTATCGTCGCGAGTGCTGTCGCCACCATTTATATTTAATCACAGAATATGTCCTAACTGATGGATTGATGTCAGTGTCTAGACACTTCAGTACGAATAGTAACCTACTAAATTTTATCTCAAGTACAAATTGTTTAAATGTGCCATAAATTGATTCCTTTTGTATTAAACTGCTTTGTTCTCTTTAAGAGGAAGAAAAGGTCTGATTTGAATGTGTGTGAAAGTTGTTTTATTTCCCTGTAGGTGTTACACGTTTGCGGAAATGCCTTGGTATCAGAGGAGAATTGCTAGAATGCTGTTTGCAGCCCCGCCCAGCTCCACCTACGAGGAGGTAGTGACACGCCCTGCTCCCCTCCGCTGTCTAAGCAGTTAGCACCGTCCCCACTGTCCAGTGCGAGTGTCCGCGCAGGCTTAGCCCTCAGTCCCTGGCTGCCATGTGGCTAACTCGGCTTCATTGTCAGCTGAGATGGCCCATGAAATTTATACCATCTAGAAGTCACAAAATAAAACAGGAAATACAGCAGCGTTTTAGGTGCACATTCCGCACAGCGACAGTCCTTTCCCTGGAAGATAAAGCATGTTTGTGTTCACAAACGAAGGGTAACGATAACTCTTTTAAAGTGGTACCGAAAAACTCTTGCTCATATTTTCAAGGACTTCTCCTGTTCTTGTTAAAAATAAAATTCGAAAGGGACTTCTGGACAGACATTTCGGGTTTACTCATCACAAAATTTTCAGAGTAAGGAAAAAGGCCATTTTAAGTAGTTTTCCCAGTACTTGTATCATAATAAGGAGCTATTTTTTTTTTTCTGGAAAGCTATAGTGTAGAATTTAATGTAAAGCATATGAAAGTGTATAATTAAGACACAGTTGGGAGACGTTTATTAAAAAGTACATTCTGAGAAAAGGTGCAGTTGGCCTCACTGTAACAAGTTACTTATGTTTCTGAGGAATCATTTGTCAGTTAATGATTATGAAACAGCTTAAGTGGGACAAAAAGAATGTAGCAGTTTCAGACTCAGTAACATTTTACATAGGAATTTCAATAATAAAGGACTTTGAAAAATTCGCTGGTACACCCTTTGTATCCAGCTTTTTCTGGGAGTCGCTGTTGTGAGGTAAGGAGAGCTCAGAATAGCTGAGTCGCACACGGGGACTTCTGTGCACGAGAGGCTGTTTGGTGCAGGCCCTTAGACGACGGTCCCCGCCATCTGCTCTGGTGGCTGATGCAGTGTTGTGTTCATTTCGCTTTGTTAACTCGCTGTTGATGAACTGACCATTAATACAGGAATAGACCTTTTGAGAAAATGCTTTAATATTGATTCTGTTTTAGTCCTTTTCACTGTTTGGGTTCTCTGTGTTTTTAACAGGCCTTGGGCTACTTCCAAAGAGCAGAGCAAGGTAAAATATTTTTTATTTCAGATACTAATGTAGTTTAAATTGTATGAATGCTTTACATATAATAGGAATTTTTAAAACAAAATGTTGTTTATTCTGATACACTTTTATACTGGATGTTGTCAAACAGTTTTATTCAGTAAAAATCGCCCGAGTGAGCAGTGGGCCCTCCTGAGTTCGGGGCCGCAGGTCTGGAGGGGCCCCAGGTCTGGAGGGGCCCCGCCCGACGTGGCTCACGCTCAGCCTGCCATTTGGGAAGAAGGCTCTGAACTGTCTTATTCAGGGTCATACAGCTGATGAGACACATTTCAGTGAGGACTCTGGTTTTAAACCATTGCAGATATTGTCTGCTTTTGTGAAGAAGAGTTTTATGTCACTCTTGCTTTGAAGAAATGGCCAGTCTACAAAACTGACTTAGCCCACGCTAAGTTTGTCTTTTCATATTAGCAGCACAAATTAGAAAAGAGTCGAAAGCATATGTTACCAAATACACCAAAAAAGCCATTGCATATTTCTGTAGAACTTAATCAAAAAATTAAATTCAAGGGCCTTGCTCAGGTGGACCTGCCCAAATGCTTTCATGATAGCAAAGCATTTTTTAAAAAACATTTTTTCGAAAAACACTTTTTCTGAATATTAACTACCTCTATAATACAAATGTCAGTTCTGCTTTTACTCTTAACATCCTCACAATGGAGTGACATACACATCACGAATGTGAATCTGGGAGTGAAATACCCTCAAAGGGACCGAGAAGTGTCATAGCAAAGAAAAACTAGGGCGCTGGAGGCTGATGGGTCGGGCTGTCGCTATGGAGCGGAGTGGGCCCTCCACCCGTGGGGTGGGTCACGGCGTGTCTCGCTCGGGCAGCTGTCCCTTAGGCCCAGGGCTGCCTCAGATTCCCCTGCTGTGCGCACCTTCGCCTTCCCCGTCGTGGCCCTTCTCACTCCGTAGTGTGGATATTTACGTGTCTGAATTCAGGGAAGATGGGACTTTTTTGCTCACAATTGCATTCTTGTTGTTTAGGATGATGCTGGGCATATTTGCTCAGTGACAGTAAAGAGGCGAACGAATGAATTTGCTGCACCCCTAGGAAGCTCAGGCACGCTCACGTGGCATCTCGCAAAAGGAAGTAGGGCAGTTTCCAGCCACGGAGCAAACGGAGTTCGGCCGTGAGCGGGGGCAGGCGCGCTCCCAACAGGGAGGGCACGAGGGGGGCTCGAGAGGCCACCTTCCCTCTGGCGCAGGACGTCCTCCCCCGCTGTTAACGCCCCATTCGGCCCCTAGTCCAGCCCCGCTGTCACCTCTTAGAGTTGCTTTTTCCCTTGGTTTCTCGTCGCACTTCAAAATGGGGGTGCCACGTGGGAGCATTCTCTTCATCTTACGTCCCTCCCAGCACGTGGCGACCCCGTGCGCGGGGTGGCACCGTCACGATTGCGTTCACATTCGGCCCGCGCGTTCGGTGCGTGCTGCTCCAGGCACTTAGGGAGGCCGCGTCCTGCCCTGGCCGGAGTGCGTCCCTGTCCCCGCCCCCAGACGCGCACTTGCGCTGTGAGCGCCGCATAGGAGCTGCGTCTGGCGAAGCACCAGCAGAGCGACACGCAGCAAGCGGGGGATGTCGCACAGGTGTTTCAGGGTTGAATCGTTGCACACGAGAGTGAATCCTGGTTAGCTGCTAGTCTTCACTGACCACGCAAACGTATTAGAGTTTAGACCCCAATAGTGAAGGCTTTGAAAGTAAGCGCAACAGTATTTCATCTGAGGTCAGTTTTTCTTTCTTACAAACAGTGGATCCGAACTTCTACAGCAAAAACTTGCTTCTCCTGGGAAAGACGTACTTGAAGCTGCACAACAGAAAGCTCGCTGCGTTCTGGCTGGTGAAAGCCAGGGACTACCCCGCACACACCGAGGAGGACAGGCAGGTAGGCACCCGGCAGGGCAGGGCAGGGCAGGGCAGGTGCGCTCCGCGTTCCTGCGGGTCACGGTGAAGCCCACGGCGAAGCTGGAACCTCTGAGATGGCCGTCTGGGTGCGCGCATCAGCCATGCGGTCACCGCGGGCACGTCAGCTTCTGCACAGGACGCGCGGGCCGTCGCTTCGGCGAGCCGGCGTTGTGAGGGATGTGCTCGGTACAGGGTCACGTGGCCATCAGATGACGCTTCCATAGTGTCCAGGGCGTGTGCGGACGCAGACATGCTCCGAGGGCCACCTAGTCACCGCTAAGAAAGTTCATTCTCACCGTGTGCCCTCCTGTTTTGGGGACCCTTAGAAGCTGCATTCCGCTTTATGAACTTGAATTTGACAAGCCGAGCCCTATTCGATGCCGTACTGTTTATTCGTGACGTGTATTTTTCCATTTTAGATTCAGATGGAAGCCGCTCAGTTGCTTACAAGTTTCAGTGACAAGAATTGAGAATTTTTCAGAGAAGAAAACACATGAAATACCTAGGAACCACCACCTTTTCATCAAATTACAAGTACATTATAACTGTTCTCTGTCTGTTTTCTTGGTTCTTTTAATGTATTTCACAAATCACAAAAGAAATAATTGCCGTGAGCGTGGTCGGGCTGTCTCTGGCTCAGAGACTACTGTGCATTGGGGGCCCCAGCAGTGCAAAGTGGGATCAGATTTGAGGACTGGTCCCATCAGGCTGGGAGGGGATCAGGAAAAGCTTTGTGGGGGAGGTGGCAGTGGGGACTGCATTGCAAGCTGGATGGAGTCAAAGTTGAAATCTTGTCGAGATGGCGAGTGGCAGTCGGGAGGCTGGGAACCAAGGGATTAAGTGATGTGTCTTGGAGCCAGCCTTGTCAGGAGGACTGGGAAGGGACTTGATTTCCTTGTCCCTGTGACTCCACCTCACGGGTGGATTTGTGTCTGGACAAAGCCCAGATCTGGTGCCCTGACGGGGTGGAAGGGAAACCGTGTGGCTTACTGGGGGGGCCGTCAGCACTGCCGACTCGGAGGCTGTGAACAGGAGGACCTCAGACGCCACTTAGATCTGAGTGTACGTGTGTGTGGCCTCTCCCCAGAAGGGGCGGGAAGTGTGTCCCGGTGAACCGCGTGGGTGTGTGCTGTTCGATCATGTGTGTTTTCCAGCAAAAAGGAAGACTGGAGTCTGCACACCTGTCTGATTCACACGTGGACGTGTAGTCTCAGAATTGTAGACAACTCATTTCATCCCTACATACCTGAGCACGCACTGTCTCACAGTAAGGACATCCTTCACAAATCCGTTGTCACCGCTGAAAAGTTAACAGTAGTAGTTTCTCGAATGTCCCAAAATGTCTGTTTTTGAAACCAGGATCCAAACATCATAACGCTGCCTTCGTTTGAAATCGGAAACAGTTCCCCCACCTTTTTTCTCACAGCATTGACTTTGTGAAGAGGCTGGCACAGCTGGCTCAGATTGTCCCTTTTCTAGGTCGGCCGTACGGGACACACCTGGAGACCCCCTGCTCCGTGGCTCAGATTCCAGTGAATCGCACGTGCAGTAGATTTTCTCTAACTTACATTTATCACTTTCTGGTTTTTCTTTTTACTTTTTTCGGTTTCATTTTTTGGCTCGCTTCATTTCTGTCTCGTGTCCCTTTAGTTCTAGATCGTTTTCCTCCTTAGGAACCTTTCGCCTTCACTGCTATTTGTCGTATTTTTCCTGATTTGTCAGCAGACATTTCACATCTTTAGATGGTTATTTGTCCAATTCTGAGTTTTGAATTGTTAATTTGGATTTTTTTCATATCTATGTTTATGTACATTTAATACATGTTAGTGTATGGTGTTAACAAATTTTTGCTGTTTTTTGTATTTTGAACATTTTGATCTGAAATTTCCTCATTTTCAGTTTTCTCTTGAGTGACTGTGAACGTCGTTTCCTGGACGTGTGGTTTCTGGGAGTGTGGTTACCATCAGTCAACACCAGGCCGTCACGTGGGACGCGAGGGGTTTGGTTTAGTTCAAGAGCCTCTGCTGAGTGGTTTCTGTGGAGCGCGGTGCCTTGCAGTGGTGAAGCCTGTCGTGGAGGCGAGGGACCGTCCTCCAGTAGAACAGGGGGGTCCTGTGTGTCCGTCCCGCTTTGCCCCGTAGTGACATGTAACTATATTACGATTCAGGTGTCACCACCTTGGGTGCTGTCGTGCGTGCGCGTTCTGTGCAGCTCGATCACACGAGCAGACTTGTCACTGCCACCACGGTCGGGACACAGCTCTTCCATCGTCACCGTCTCCACCCCCCCCCGAGTCTGTCCTCATTTCAAGGATGTGGCATGACTGGAACCGTGTAGGACATCGGCTCCTGAGGTGGCTTTTCTCAGTCAGCGTGCTTGCTTCGGGGTCCGTCTAAATTCAGTCAGTGCGTGGTGGTTCCTACCGTCGACTGCATTTCGTTGCATGGACGCTGTTCCCACCCTTGGCTGCTCTGAGTGTTGGGTCCAGGTCACAGCGACGTTCGTTTTCATCCCTGGGGCGACGCCGGGAGCGCGGCCGACCCCGAGCCTGCCGGTCTGGTGCCCGCCCGCTCGGTGCTGAGGCGAGGCGCCTGCGGCTGCCATCCGCCGTCTGGGGCCCCAGCTCCCGCACTGTCCCGCTCGGGCACAGTCTGCTCTTCTGGGCTCACGTCCCTGAGCCGAGCGCTGACTTCCCCTGTCCGTGTCCATGGGAGTTTGTTCTGTCTCCTGAACACAGTGACCTGGGCAGGAAGGGGGTTTAGTGACCTCTCCTTGGGGACACATGTCCATTCTTCTGAGCAGGTGGGGAGACTCGATCTGAGAAATGGCTGTTAACCTGTTATGTTGACGGAACTGTCCCAGCGGAGTTTAATCGTAGGCTGTGGCCTTTGTAAAACGATCTCTCAGTCTCACTTTTCCATATCTCTAAATGAAGCATCGTTATGACAAAGAAAAAGCAAAACCACCACCTGGGAGCTGAGGACCGCAGAGCAGGCCGGGGTTCACTGCGCGTCCGGGTGAGTACCTCCCCTGCCTCTGTCAGCGGCCGCGGTCCCCTCTGCTGAGGCTGGGGCGGGGAGGGCCAGAACTTGGGCAATGCCAGGCGTGTGGCGGTCGCTGCAGATGGCTTTGGCCCGTGCGCAGGGCCGTATGGTACAGAAGAGACGGGAGGGCTTGACTGCCTGGGTAACTAACCAGACAGAAGTCCTGGGCTGACCCCTGCCCTCGGAGCAGTGACCTTATGTGGTGACAGAAGGGGACATAGTAGGTACAGAGGGGGCCCTCCAAGGTGGCCTGGGCTTTTCGTTCGGTATTGCAGACGCGTGCCACCCTGCCAAGCTTGGCGGGTATGAAGTCGAGGTGCCTGACCAGGCTGCGGGGGGTCAGCTGTGTTTGGTGTCCGCGGGCACTGAAATCAGGCTGGGCCTGGGCCTCCTCCCCGCATGAGCTGTCTGCCCTCCTGTGCCCAGGACAGGGCGGACGGGGGTGGGCCACATTCCAGGGTCATCGCACTGCTGCTGGGTCCCCCAGGAAGTTAGCCTGGGCTCTTTGTTGCCTAATTTGGGGACAGTGATTTCTTACCTGGGGAGGGGGACCAGCACCCTGGAAACCTCCTGTCTTCAGCCGAGTCTGCTGAACACTGCGGTCACACATCTCCGCTGAGTGACACTCAGTAACTTGTCACAGCAAAACTCATCTAGCAGTGGCTGGCACTTTGTATCTTAAACAAGGTAGGTATAACCTAAGTAGCACTTTTGAAGATTGCTCACCTTCTTGTTACACACTCTATCGTATACGTTAGTTTTGTTTTCATTCTTTAGGCTTGAAAATAACCAGTGTCAGTAATTAGGGTGTGCGAAAGGAGTCTGCTCAGCCCAGCGGGTCACTGCCTTTATTGCGTCGTCACTGAGTTCCGAATAAAAATGCAGAGCACAATCTCCATTAATTTATAGAAAAATAAAATTTTGGCAAAACAAACTGTTTAGAGAAAGTAAATTGTATACTGATAGTTTCATATGTACTTAGTGAATTATGTTACAGATAACATTCTAAGATGTCAGCTCCATGGTTACAAAAAAATTAAATTAATTTACAGTCCATATTGAAATAATACAAATTTAAGTTTTATATTAGTAAGGAAGCCCAGTTTGCTGAAGTAGCATTAATAGCATTCACATCAGATTTGTTGTCCAGCAAATGCCCTTAATAATGAAAAACAATTGAAAATCTAGGACAAAATAATCTCTAAACAAAGGGGGTAGGACCAAAAGATTTTTTTATATGCTTATTTAATTCTGGTACATAGAATTTCATGAATTGAGATATTCAAACACTAATAGAAAATCCTCAGACTCACGAATGTTCAGATGGCTATGCAGCTCTTCAGTCCACCTGGTTTTACAGAACCAAAACTTATTGAACAGAAAGTATAAAAGTTCACATTGCCTTTTATATGTTCCTAAGTATCAAATTGCATCAATTTACTATGAATTGGATTTAAAGAACATCATATTTAAAAACAAGTTTAGGCGTGCCTGATTCTTTTTAATTCCACAAATACCTAGCATCCCAAAGTAACATGTAAACCTCTATGCTTCTCAGTGAATTCTTTCCAAGCTCTAGAGTAAACTAAAGGGTACGGGACCTAGTCCACGACGTTCACGTAAGCAGCGTCGTTCATTCTTTGTGTTGCTGTTACAGCAAAGAGGGAAAATGTTGAACTAGTTTAAAACAAATGGACAGGCTAAGCACCTGTCTTCAGAAAAGCCAGCAGCATTTTTTTAACATACTCGAAGAAAGATTTGGCCTAAGCCCTTGATACCTTCCTCAACAGCCATGCAACTCAACGCCCTCAGGAGATGTCACAGAAGGGAGAGGAACATGGAGCAATTCGCACTTTTTCCCTGGATAAGAAACAAGGTAAAGCAAACTCACATCATTTGAACGAACAGCTGTCATGTTTAATACACTCGGAGCTCTATAAAACTAGAGCCACCATCGTGTACGTCTAGATACATAGATGCTTATTTAATAAAGTCTCTTGCTTCAGAATTTAAGAATGATCTTTTTCCTGGTCAGTCACTTCAAGGGGACAATAAATAAAGTAGAAAGGATGAATTGTTTTGCATATTTCTCTGGAAGAACGGAAAACATTTAGAGACGTTTGGAGAAGTCACTACAGACGAACAGGTTACACACCGTCTGAGCGGTTTTCCGTGGCAGCGTGCTTAAATGCAAGGAGAGCCCCTCCAAGGGGAGACCGTCACTCTTGTCCAAACCCCTCGGTCTCCTCGATGGCAAACAGAAGTTTTTCCTTCAGTTGTTCGTAGCTCTTATAAGGCGGTAGATCCAAGCGATTAAAACTGAACAAAGACAAAATCAGATGTCTTCAATAAAACACACTGAAGAGGTTTCTAATGTGTTTTAAAATTAAATGGAAAGAAGCACACAAATTTTGCAGTATTCCGACACTTTATTACTTTACTATTAACGTACCTAAAACTCTGGGGCTCTTGTAAGTTCCCCTGCCTGCACCTCTGAGGTCTGTCAACCCGCCCCCCCCCCCCCCCCACCCCCCACCCA